TTACTCCCTGGAGCAGTGCATGAGCTCTATAAAAACAATACTTGGAGACTCCAGAGAAGTAAATCCAAAGAACTTTTGGATTAGAGATTGAGATGATAGAATTGGAATATTGAATTCTATGTTAAGCAAATGTAAGTCCTCCCATGCCCTCTCCCATACCTGGTTGTCAAAAATATGCTTAAAATGTTGATCTGTAATCAGAAGAGAAGGAAGAGAAAGAAAAGAAAAAATTGGGAGAAAACAAGAGAAATAAATAAGTCAGATAATGCCATGGATAGGTGGATGTGTAGACAAATGAATAAATGTGTGTATGGGGCAGGGTGAATACACCTGAGAACATGGACAGGAGAGTGGTGAGGAATGGTGTGGTATGGTCATCTTCCAGCCTCCCGCCCAGCGGCCACTGCCTGCCCCTTGCAGATGGTCTGTATCTGCAATGTAAGGTTATACTTAGCTAGCAGAGTGATGGACATGTGACTGTTTATGAAGGACTATTCCACTGTAATAAATGGGAGAAATTAGTGGGGGAAGGAGAAAGAAATCCCACAGGCTATGGAACTTCATGATAGAATAATAAAGTAGTCACTTACAAAAAATAATCATTGTCTGGCCTTTTCTGCTGTTGATCGTCTGACGAGGCACTGGCCATCCCTGCTGGCCTAGATGAGCTGGCTACCACATACCCCATGTGCATGTGTGCATGCTGGCCACTGCACAGGCATAGTCAACTAAGCAGACCCAGTCCAATATCAGACCACACACCCTGTGACTGTCCCTGTGGCTGGGAGAGGATACTCAAGAGTCTATTGTCCTGTGGTGAAATATGTAAATAGGATGTGTGAAACTAAAGTAATGGGGGAGTGTGGGTAGGAAAACGTGTGACAAGAATAAGCAAATACAGGGGATGAAACTGAATGCGAAGTTTGGCAAATATTAAAGGTATCTAAGGAAAGTGAAAAAATGCGTGAGGTTGAAAAGAAAGAATGAAGGAATAACTTACATGTCTAGGATGGGGAAATCATAAATATGCAACTAATGGACGAATCGATAGCAACAATGGTTTTTTGTGGGTACATAGAGGAGAGGGGAAAGGTACGGTAGAAGGATTTGTATTAAAAGTAGGAGATTGGAAATAAATATGGATTAATTATGGGAGGAAAAGGTGTAATTAGGAAGGACAAATGGGGAAATGATATTATGTGGTAGGGAGATAAGAAAAATGGGGTAGAAATAGTTTAAAGGAAAGATGGAGAAATGAGAAAATTTAGTGGGTGGATGGTTGGTATGGTATGAAGGAATGTCGGGTAGATGATGGTTATGGGTGTAGTAATGAGGGTCATGAGTGTGAAGAGATTAGGGTAGGGAGATATATTAAATATTTAGGAAGAGTATTGATGGGGGAGGTAGTATAAAAGTAATGAAATAAAGAGTAAATGAAGATATAGAATAAAAGGGGTTGATGAAGGAAAACTGGGGGATATGTGGGTTAAAATTAGTAGAAGGATAAAATTTAAGGAAGGGGATGATGATGTAGGGTATTAAAAATGAGAAATTTTAAGAATGAGTAATGAAAGGTAATCCCCACACAAGTTGTGGGTGCCATGGCCATGCTTGGCATGGTGTGCCCTCAGTCCCAGCCTTTGCAAGTACTGGCTGGTGGTGTAGCCTGACCCAGTTTGACTACCTCCCAGCCCTGGCTCCCACAAGTGTCTGGTGGGTTCTTGTCAGATGAGTCTGTGGTCCAGTCTGTCTAGGCTCATTAATACCACCAGCTCTCCATGTAAATTGAAAGGTGCTATAGTCCCACAGAGGTGAGCCCACAAATGTCTTATAGAATCTACCCCAGAACCAGGTGTCTCTCTTCCTGATGGGTGCTGTGGCCCAGCCTCTGCTCTGACACTCCCATTCAGGTTTGTACTGTGGCCAGCCCCTGCTCTGACAATGCCATTCAAGCTTGTCCCACAGCCCCTCCTTTGTATGCACCAGGCAATGTTATTTAGCTCAACCCATGTCTCCCATATGGACAAGTGCCTTGGCCCTCTGGGTTTCCCCCTTTCAACCACTCCATCTGAGCTCCCTTGTCTATGTGCAAGTGCAGTGGTCCAGTCTGTGGAAGACCCCAGAAGTCCTTCCTCCTCTGCCAAACATTCCCTCAGCTGCTCTCACCCCAATATATCCCCATGTCACCCTTCCCAGGAAATCTGTTACACCCCCTCACCTGGGGCCTGGGGTGGCATGTCCCTGCTGGAGGCCAGCTCAAGCTGAGTTCAGAGCTCGAGAAGGGTGTGTGGCATCGGTGAAAAGACACGGACACTGTCCCTTGGTCCCCTCTTGTAACAGCTCAAGAAAAGCTGTCCTTTTTATTTACTAGACACATCACAAAACTCTGTACTAACGTTTGATTTTACAATCTTTAACTTCAGAACGAAGTCGAATTGCACAGATGTTCGATTAATTAATTACTACTTTATGGTCAACCAGGTGCTCTTAAAGATAATTCTGTAAGTTACTATAATCTTTCTTCTTCAAAGTAAGCCATTATTCATTCTTCAGTAGTGGCCATTGGGTGACAGCCAGGACTCCAAGGCCAAGGCACATGGAACTGCCTACTAAGCAACAATATTTTCCCACTACGGTTCTGTTTCTACAACTTATCTATCACTTAAGGGGAAAAATACATCAGAAGGGAAAAAAAACAAAGATCCACGACAAGAGTTTCAAATACTAAATCCCCCTACAACTGCAGGCTCCACAACCCCATAAACAGTCAAACAACAATCAAAATCATTTCTCTATGATAAGAATCAAATCACTCTATAATTCCTCTAGTTAAAGAATTATAAAATGGCTAAAACAGCTGCATTTTCTACGCTCTAAAAGGGTTGCAAGGACAGGCTAACCTTAAGAGTCACAGTAACTATTTTTTGTCATAGCAGTTCAGCTCATAGTCCTATCACTTCCATTAGTTTGTAAGATTGTTATCAAGCCCTTTCCAAGAAGACATGCCACATGTCTGGGCCAGATTCTGGGGCAATGGGTAGGCACACAATACAGTGTTCAGAAACGGCATGGGTTTAATTGTACTCCTGTGTAGTTAAAGGCCCACTCACCTAGACATTATCAGTAACATTAACTCCCAAGCTCACATCAGTTACAAAAGCCATCTCTTGGGGCAAACAACAATGTCTCAATTCCTAGTGGGGTGGCTGAGTGTCCATGCAAAGGGGGTGGGGAGACTGCGTTGAAGTGGTGAGAAGAGACATTCACCAGGCTTTGACACAGCTGGAAGCTCCTCTAGGCCCTGCCAGCAGAGGAGCAGTTCTCTTCACACCTTCGGGTCATCCATGCCTACTGCGCCGACCCCAGCATGTCCCAACCCAGGGTTCCCTACCTCCCAACATAGCTTTTCAAAACAGAATAAGCAACCATGCTGGCATACTGGTATAGTTAACATAAACATAGCAGTGCCCAGGCCAGGAATGCCTGCTGGCTACCCGCTGCTTGTCTCCCAGCAATGTAGCACTTGTTAGGTACAAGGTAACCTAGCCAGCTGCCTGCACCTGGGGAGGATCTTTTTAAAGTAAGAACCTGGCAGCTTGAGCAGAGCTTAAATCAGTAAACAACATCAGAAAACAAAATAAAGTATAAAAAAAGGTTGAAGATTCACAGCAAACATAGCCAAAAGCTAAATGACTGCGCATCTTGTCAGTGTGTTTCCATCCTGGGCACACACAAAAGGTGGTTCGGCCATTGCTGAGTGCTTTCTGTGAATACATGCTTATCTTTTCACCTTTGGGGTTCCAACAAAACTTAATTTACAAAAGCAGGTAGACATCACTGCCCTAAAAGTCCAGAAGCAACAGATGGATACGTACAACAGAGTGTATTTTACACAATGGAATTGCAGCCAGTAATGAGTGAATCACAAGCAGACAACAGTATGGCCATACTGAACTCAAGAAGCCCCAAACCACAGGGGGCATGGCTTCCAGCCCTAAGGTCAGCCTGACTGGGGGACGCATCTGGACTGGGGGACGTGGGGAGGCCCCTTGCCCATGAAGGAGGCACCGTTTCCAGGGCTGTGATGAAGGCAGAGGAGGGGACACGAGGCAGCCCTTGGTGAGGTCAGAAGTGCAGTGGGAGTTTCACTCCCTTTCCCTCTTGGCCACTCTGGCAGCCGTGAGGTCACGCTGGTATGTTTCCTGTCATCCTTGGCAATGCCATCGCATCACCATGGAGGCAGGAGCCCAGGCAGCAGGTCAGATGGTCATGGACACACTTGGTGTACTCTGGGTCTATGTCCAAGCCTGGCTGTCTGGGATGCACCTTGTCCAGGGGACCATGAGTGTCATTCCACACCAAAGAGTACCTACAGCCCACCCTGGCAAGGCTGGGCTGGGCTGCAGCTGGGGACTTGGGTGGCAGACAGATGTCAGCATTGAGCTTGCGCTTACTATGCAGGCAAGAGTGACTCCAGGGTGCCTAAGCTGTTGGGTGGGCCTAACGCCCGCTGTCCTCCTGGGAGCAGGAGTCTGGACACTTGGGGTACAAGCTGCAGGCCTGACTGGTCCCCAGCAGAAACCCTGCACATTTTGCCTCTGATGTGGGGAAGCCCCATCACTCAGGTGCGTTCCGTGTGGTCACACCGCAGGAGGGGTCTGGAAGCTCCCACCTGGGCACCCTGGTCTCGTCTCCACCCCTGGCCTCATCTCTTTGCTGATTTTGCTTCCTGTGTCATGCCTGGGGCAGGGTCACAGCTTCCAAAAGCATGGTCCCTACGAGGGTTTCTAGAGAATCAGTCAACCTGGCTTGTCTCTGACCTCATGTGTACACACTCTGGTGCAAGGGGGAGCCACCATGCTGTGTGCGCACACAAGTCTCAGGCTGGCTCAGGTCACAAGTCAGGGTGTGCCTGGATCCAGAGGGCCGGGCACAATTCAGGGCAGGGCCACGTGTGTGTGTGTGTGGTAGGGGGAAGGCCCCAATGAGTGAGACTAACATCCTTTAGAATTTTATGACAGCCAGAGCCCCACACAGCTATCTGGGGCCTCATCAAAGGTCTTCACACCAACACTCAGTTGTCATGGCAGGAATTGTTCCACATCTGGTAATAATTAATCCAGGGCACGGTGTAGATCAGAGACTCACAAATCAAACTCTGTGGACGAGGAAGGAAACAGTCAGTTTTCGTAGGCAACGGAGGCTGCCCGTCCTCCCCCAGGCCCCAACCCTGTGGCTGCTCATGGACCACGCAGGCACTGGGCGGGGACACACAACCCCTCAGCAGGTGAACCTGGAACCATGTGGCCTAGCAAGACTCTGGGCCCATGGCCTTGCCCTCCTGCTCCTCATCTGGGCCCCTGGCACCTACAGCAATGGTGAGCGGACATGACCTCCAGTCTTCTGCTGGTGTCAACATGGGCAGAACTAGGGAGGTAGTGTGGGAAAACTGGACAGTCCCTAGGGACCCAGAGGCAGAAGCTGATCCCAAGCAAAGCAGGCCAGGAGCAGCTGCAGAAGCAGCCAGGTGACCAGAGGCCCTGGCCAAGGAGCCTTCTTCCTTCCCTGTGTGTCGTCAGGGAGGTGTGAGGTCCTAGGGCCAGCCAACACAGCACTCATGGCTGGGCGGTACCTTCCTTGGTGCCCGTTCTTCCCCCTCTAGTGTGAGTTCCCCGGCCCCTATGACATGGATCTGGCCGCTGGTCACCTTTTTCAACTTCTTTTTCTGCAGGGGACAGGAAGAGTTTGTTCTGGAACTCCTCTTGCACTTGGTGCGGCCGATCTTCACCGTGACCTTGTACTCTACTCCGGTGGTCAGCTGCAGAGAAACCCCAGCAGCCCTCCATGATCAGGTGTGCCTCTGTGTGTCCAGTAGCTACGCATGCACCCCAACCCCGCAGTGCCTCTCTCCCCGAGACTCCAGGGCTTCAGATGAAACCCCGGGAGCCACAGTCCTGCCGCCCAGAGCTCCCCACCACCAAATGTGGCTCCCCTTCCCCTCCAGCCCAGATGAGGCACCAGGACACTCACTAAGGGGCCTGGCCAACCCCTTCTCACACCTGGTACAGACTCTCAACAGAGCACGCGTCTCACCTGTTTCCTTCCATTTTTGCCACAAGGGAGGTGACAGCAAGCTGGGTTGCCTAGCAACCACAGGTCACTCCCAGGTGGGCCCCAGATGGTCCTCATAATGGAACCAGGCACCTTGCCCCTGCCCTGTCAGATCCTTCCCGCCAACCTGAGGGAGGCCACTTAGCAACAAAGACAAGGAGTCTAGAGCCCCACGTTGTAGCTCGTGCAACACGGGCATCCCATATGAGCACTGGTTCCAGTTCCCACCACACCACTGCCCATGCAGCCCCCTGCTGATGCACCTGGGAAAGCAGTGGAGGACAGCTGAGTGCTTGGGTCCCTGCCATCCTTTGGGAAACCTGCAGGAAGCACGAGTCTGGGAACCAACTGCCTTGGGACCTGTGTCCCTGGGAATATCAATGACAACCTTGAGTAGGTGATTCAGCCATGTCCTGAGTGAAGGCGGCCAATGTGCTTGCTCATGGAGCTGTTCTGTGGGCGAGATGCAAGCCCCTGACCCCCTCAGCGCACACAGATGAGTTAACACATTATTGAATGTCTTAGCAACGTGTCCAGGGCACAGCTATGGAGTTGGCAAACCAACAGAGCAGAGAGAATCATGCTGGAGGTCTGACTTGGTCTCTTGTGAACCGTGTCACACAGGCTAGCCCCAGCCTCTCCCTGGGCCTCAGTATGCTCATCCAGAAAAACAGAAGAATCCTGCCCTGTCTCCCTCAGGGTACTGAGGCTGGAGGGAGGGGCTGTGATGGCCACACAAGTCATGGGGCATGTAGCACCAGTGCCATGCCCGTTGGCCAGTCTGTCTTCTTTACCACGTGACTAAGTATGAGGCCAGGGAGACTTGAGGCCGGGGCAGGATGCCTGGGTAGCCCTGGTGAACAGGGGAGTGAAACAGACTTAGGATTCTATGGCCACAGTTCCCCTGCTGGGAACTGATACCTCCATGGGAGAGCTCTGCTGTGTGGAGGAGAAGCTCCTGGGAGCCCCTGCTGCCTTGCCCAAGCATCGCGGGTCCAAGGTCCAAGGCCAGGAGAAGCTGTTGTCCTGCCTGGGATGTTGGAAGATGGGGAAGGGGAAGGCACCTTTGAAATTGTCAGGACGGGGCAGGGGATAGGCGTGCTAGGGGTTAAAACACATTCTGTGTTGCATTTCTTGGGTTCAGTTCTCAGCTCTCAATCCTGACTCCAGGTTCCTGCTAATGCAGGCCCAGTTAGGCAGTCACTGTGGCTGTCAGGCCTAGGGGAGCCCCCTGCCCTGCCCTGCCCTGCCCTAGGCAGTCACTGTGGCTGACAGGCCTGGGGGAGCCCCCTGCTCTGCCCTGCCCTGCCCTGCCCTGCCCTGCCCTAGGCAGTCACTGTGGCTGACAGGCCTGGGGGAGCCCCCTGCCCTGCCCTGCCCTGCCCTGCCCTGCCCTGCCCTAGGCAGTCACTGGGGCTGACAGGCTTGGCAGAGCCCTCTGCCCTGCTAGAGACCTGCGCTATATACTCACACCACACCAGCAGCAGCCCCGTTGCTATTGGCGTTTACAGAGTGGGCAGGTGCCTGGGAGCAAGCGCTCTCTCTCTGTCTCGCCATCCTTCACTGTTGAAACATCAACTGTGGCATCCACTGAAAGTATCCCCAGGAGCAGGTGCACCCTGTTCTTGACCAGAAAACAGTTGCACCCACACCGGGGCAGCATGCAGGACTGTGCCAGGCTCCGGCCCTGCTGCCCATCACCCACTGTGTGTGTAGGTAAACGCTGAGACCCCAGCCGCACACACAGCATGCACAGTGTCCTGTCACCCGTTCCCACACTCCAGTGCTACCGTGTCTCACGAATGCTCGTGGGTTGGTATTGCTCATGGCTAATCCAGCTGAGGAAGAAGAGCAATTCTCACAATTGCAGTCGTATCTTCCACAAGTCTCTATTGAGGGCGCCTCTCTCACCCTCAGTCATCTTCCAGGTGAGCATCCTGAAACCAGGAGACCCTTGTGGGCCAAGAGTCCCACAAGTTAGTGAGCAGGCTGCCAGGCCTTAGGAGGATCCCCCCACTCCTTGTGCACCTCCTGTGCTGTCCCCGTGGATCTCAGAGAAGATCCCTGATGTTGGGATCCAGGAGTGCCCACCCAGCTTCCAGGGGCAGACCTGCCGTGCACATTCATGTAGGTCATAGTGGACTGATGGCACAACCCGGGCCTGCTGGGGGGTCCCAGACTTAGCTTGGAAAACTGGTCAGATCAAGCAGCCATGCGAGCAACACTGCCACCTTGTGGTTTAAGTGTATGCTGGCACAGGGACCTGCTGGAAAGCCTGCAGTGCCAGTGGGACCCCATCTGGCCAGGGGACACTGTCACCCTTCCCCACCCACAGCCACCCCTTTGCTCCTTTCTCTAACTAGAGGTCTTTCCACCCCTCATCGGCTCCCCACAACACACACATACACACATACACACACACAAAGGACGTAGGGAGCCAAGATGCGGTGGCATCCATCTGACACAGAAATGGTTGGATCAACACAAGTGATTTCCAAACAGGTATTCCTTCCTCTTCCATCCTTCAGGCGATGTATATGTAAACATAAGAGGGATGATCCCTTCTAAGCCTATATTTTTTCCTTTATAAAATTAACTCTGTACTTGCAATGCAGAGAGAGAGACAGAGATATGTCACGTGTGGTTCACTCCCCACGAATGCCCACAACAGCCAGACCTGACCCGGGACGCAGGAGCCCAGCTGCATGCAGGAGCCCCACGTGGGGGGCAGGGAGCCAAGGACCTGAGCCATTCATTGCTGCTGCCTCCACGTGAACAGGAAGCTGACCTGGGAGTCAGCTTGAGCCCAGGCGTCTCCACTATGACATGCAGGCACTCCAAATGGCCTCTTAGCCACTGTGCCTCAGGCCTGCCCCTGTCGCCGACCTTCCTCCCTTCCCCATCCACCCCCTCCCAAAGTGAAAACAAGACCCTCTGTGTGATGCCAAGGGTGTGTGCGACACAGAAATCCAGTCTTGGATTGCACCACCCTGAACGTGGACAAGAGATGCTGCTATTGGGGAGGGGAAGTGGCAAAGAAAGTCGAGATTTGCCAAAGGAGGCCTTTGGGGGGGCAAAGACAAACACAGCCCAAAGACATGCCCGTTCAGAGGGAAGATGCTTCCCAACCTGAGAAACTGTCCCTTGGCATCCCGGGAGGGACACCAGAGCCTTGTTGTGGCCAGGGGGACCAGGGAGGGGTGAGGAGGGCTGCCACAGAACCCACACACGAACCTGCATCTGACTCCGGAGGAGTTTCTGCACCCGAAACAGGTAGGTGTCGTTGCTGTTGTTGTTGTATGACTGAATGAAGAAGTTAAGTGTGGAGTTCATGTTCTTCTTGCTCATTGGCTTCTCCTGGAAGCCACCCCAGTGCTGAAAGTGGCCCAGGGTCACCGCCAGAGTCAGGACCATCAGCACCATCAGGGGCATCCTCCAGCAACCTCCCTCCATCTCTGAAGGCTCAGAAACTTTCCACCCAAAATGCACCTGCTGGGAAGGGTGGCACCAGTCACTCGCTTGCCAGGGTGGTGGCCTTGCTGCAACAGAGAAACAGACACTGAGATGCCCAAACTGGTCCCTCTAAGATCCCTACGGAGCTCTGAAGCTCCTCCCCCAGCCCTCATGCTGACACAATCTGTAATGCTATGTCAGGTGCAGCAGACAGGGCAGAGATGCTGATGGGAAGAGGGGAGCCCATGGAGGGAGGTAAACTTGAACTGAGATGCAGCAAATCAGCCACAGGGCGTATGAGGGATGATGTCCACGTGCCTACCTCGGGGTCCAACCGAGCCAGCACAGCATCCACCGCTCCCCCTGGGTGCCTGCAGAGACAGGCTGTCCTGACTCGCCTGCGTCTCATTTGTCTCAGATTTCCACCTGCACCTGCAGGCCCTGTGCCAGCTCATCACACCTCTCTGTGACGCCAGGGCAGCCTTGTGAGGTAATGCCAGTGTTTATGAGGAAGGAGCGGCTGGGAGCCTGGTTCAGGTGTTAGTACTACAGGGCCTGGAGGCAAGCTGTTGCCTGTACCTCCAAGCCTGCAAGAGTACCCCATTAAAAGAAAAAAGTGAGTTAAGATGAGGTCTCACTCCAGTTGGTCAGGATGTTTAGATGAGTGAATGTATGCTAAGGAATAGGAAAGTGGGATAAGAGAGCTGTGTGCTGTTTTGTAACCTCTTCTACAACTGAAGTTGATTCAAAATAAAGACATAATTTAAAATAAAATAAAATTTGTATCTGTGAAAAATAGGAAAATAAAAAGGAGAAAAGCCTAGTGTCAAAGCCCAGCTGCCTCAGCTTCAACTCCTTTGCTGGACACCAAATCCTGGACCCTCTGCTACCTGCAGTTCATCTGTCACACGACACTGAGACGACATGGTCTTCCTACGCAGTGCTGGACACCGTCACCCTTCCACCCACCCCAAGCCTGTCGAGACTCATCAGGCGTCCCCCTGCACCTGCACAGTGGCCTCACGGGCGGTGGTGGCAGTTACGAGTCCCACGTGAGTCCGCTCGGTCCCAGACAAGCCGAACCAGTCCTGGAGGTCTGGGAGAAGCCAGACAGAGGGTAGACCCGAGAGAGAAGCAGCAATCTTCAGTGGGTGCCATGGGAGGGAGATGAGAAATTGCTGGCCGGATTCTATCCATAGAATTACAGGGAGTCAGGCAGCATTACAGGGGACACGGAGAATAAGATGATTCTCTGCCAGGAACATGGACAAATAGAAAATGGAGGCCTCGTGTGCTGATGCAGTGAAGGCGAAGTCGGGACGTTGGTCACGGCTGTGGAAGCTGAAGGGCGTGGGGGACACGGAGGTGCCCGTGTACTATGGTAAAACTGGGGCCTGGCGACATCCGTGAATGAAGAGGAAAAAACTGAGTCTGAGGACTCGTACCAAAAGTAAAATACCAGATTTGGGTAGTTGTATGCAATGATGATAACGGGATACCCAATCACAGCCCCAACCAGGAGGAAATAGAGGACTTGGCTGAGTTCATGAATGAGGGGGAGGGGAACTCTTTATTTCTGTACCATCCTGGGATATGAAGGTTCCACTGTGGCACAGCGAGTTAAGCCACTATTGGCAAGGCCAAAATCCCATCTAAGAATGCCAGCTCCAGTCCTGGCTGCTCTGCTTCCTGTCCAGCTGCCTGCTAATGTGCCTGGGAAGTAGTGGACCATGGTCTAAATGTGGGAGACCCAGGTGGGGTTCCTGGCTCCTGGTTTGCCCTGGCCCTTCCCTAGCCTTTGTGGCCATTTGAGAGTGAACCAGTGGATGGGAAATCTCTCTCTCTCTCTCTCTCTCTCTCTCTCTCTCTCTCTTTCTGTCTCTGTCTCTCTCTCTTCCTTATCACCACAGGCAGGCAGGCTCTGCTGGTATAGGCTATTGTCCTCTGACTGCCCCTGCCTCCTGCACCCCAGCCAGAGGAACTGCCCAAGTTCCTCCTTGGCCTTGGCAGGAGCCCCTTTGGGCCTACAAGAGCCACCAGATCAGCTTGGCTGAAGTTCACGGCTCACAACGCCAAACTTCTGGTCAGAAACCACTGGGGGGTGGGGTGGGGGGTGTCCCTGCTCTTCTCGCTGGAGGACACCCAGCCAATGGGGATGCAGGGCCAAGGATCCAGCACAGACAGCTGCATTGGGATGCCCCCTGCCCAGCCAGTGGTTGAGGCATGGGACAGCGTGGAGGGGCAGAGTTGCTGGGTGCGGCTTCCCAAGGAGAGAAGGAGGCCGCCTTTTAGCATGGCAGCCAGGCCAGCTGCTGTACCTTCTGAGTGTTGGTGGCTCCCGCCTGCTCCACTGAGATGACTGTGAGAGTTAGATGCCAGGATGCCAGGGGAGCAGGCAGGGCCACTGGAGTGCCACTGTGCTGATTCCAATCAAGAGGGCACCGCAGGGGTGGGAGGGAGAGCCAGCAGGACAGCCCTGGGCTGCGGGAGGCTCCCTGCAGACCGCCTGCCCTCTGTCCACCCAGGGCCATCCTTCCAGCAGTGTTTCATTGACGGGCATTGAATCAGGGCAGTGAGGCAGGTCACAGGAGTGACATGCTCTCCCCAGCCTCCATCTGGTACCAGAACCTTCTGGTCACTATGGAAACAGAGGGAATCTTGTACACCGCGACGCTAAGCCCTGTTTGTTTTAATGGAGCACTTTTGGATCATTTTGATTTGTTTTGCTGTCCCTTACATGCTCCTCATAAGTTAGCTGCGATGGGTGTGTCAGCCGGCCAGGAAGTGGTTCTGTTTGAGACACTCCCCCCCACCCCCGTCACGCCAACTGCCAGGTGCTGTTCCTAAGCAGCCTACTGAGCAGCAACATTCAGACCTGCAGGCAGGGGAGTGGTCCCTCTTGGTGGGGGTGAGGCTGCAGGGAAACATCCTCCAGTGGCCAAGACAGCCATTGCTCAGGCCCAACCCTGAGCCCTAGCCTGAGCCTTGAGCTGAGCACTGAGCCCAGAGCCTGAGTTGACTTTGAGCCTAGTCTTGAGCCTGATCCTGACCCTGAGGTTGACCCTGAGCCTGAGCCTGAGCCTGAGCTGAGCCTAACCCTGACGCTGAACCTGACCATGACCCTTACCTGAAGTCTTAACACTGATCCTGAGCCTGACTCTGATGCTAAGCCTGAGCCTGAGATTGACCCTGACCATGAGCCTGACCCCCAAGCCTGACACCAACACTGAGCCTGACTGCAAGATCTGAGCCTGAGCTTGAGCCCTGACTTTGAGCCTCATCCCAACCAGGACCCTGAGCCTTGACTGTGACCCTAAGCTCTGACCTTGACCCTGACACTGACCAGGACACTGAGCCTGACCCTGACCCTGATCCTGACCAGGACCCTGAGCCCTAACCCTGACCATGACTGTGAGCTTGACCAGGACTGTGAGCCCTGACCCTGACATTGAGCCTGAACTTGATCCCTGAGACCTGACATTAATTCTGACACACAGCCTGAGACTGAGACTGAGCCTAAGCATTAGCCCTGAGCCCTGAGCCCTGAGCCTTTACCCTGAAACTAAGCCCTGAGCCAGACCTTGACTCTGACACTGAGCCTGACACTGACACTAAGCCTGGAACCAAGTAGTGTTACACTTCAAAAATGAGGGATTTCTGCCCATAGAATGCACTGTGTTGAAAACAGAATGGAACAGAAGGTGCAGGAATCTCCTGAACTGGCTATGAACTCTATATCCAGAGAGAACTTCAGAGCGCAAGCGACTTTGAGCTAGCATTGAAAACTGTTCTGGCACCACACACTGCTGAACATGCATTTGGTATCTAGGGAACTCAGCACATTGCTGGTGGATGGCACAATCTAGAAGATAGAGTGGAGGTGTTGCACTGACAGGTCAACTCCATTTGGGTTGATAAATAAGTTCACCTACCATCAGGCTTACAAGCAGTGCTCACAAAAACCCGGTTTTGTCACTTTTTGTGTAAAGCCCATAGAGTGCATTATACTGAAATGAAGCGTGTTGAGCACCCCACAAACCAATGTCATAGATTCTTGTTCAATTTGCTATGAACTCCATATCCCAAAAGAACTTCAGTGCTGAAGTGATCTTCAGCTAGCATCCAAAAAACTTTGTTGGCATCACATAATGCTGAATGTACTTGTGACGCCTAGGGGACACGCATGTTGGGGAACCGCAAAGTCCGGAACATACAGTGCAGGGGGTCTGCTGGCAGGACAACTCAATTTGGGTTACTAACGTAACACAAAATTAAGCGTGCAAGCAGCTGTCACAGAAATTCCATCTCATTACTTTTCATATATGAACATAGAGTGCAAGGTATTGAAATGAAGCATGCTGAGCACCCACACAAATCAAGGTTGTAGGTTCTCACTCAATGTGCTTTGAACTCCACATAAAAAAATAAATTCACTGCCCAAGGAATTTTCAGCCAGCTCTGCGGGCCGAGTGTGGTAGCCCAGTAGCTACATGTTCCAGAATCCCATCTGAGTGCTGGTTCTAGTCTCTGTGGCCCGATTCCCATCCAGCTCCCTGATTATGGCCTGGAAAAGCAGTCAAGGATGGCCCGACGGTGGGACCCTGCACCTGCATGGGAGCCCCAGAAGAGGCTCGCTACTCCTTGCTTCGGATCAGCGGAGCTCCAGCCCTTGGAGGTGCGTGGAGAGTGAATCCACAGACGGAAGATGTTCCTCACTATCTCGCATCACCTCTGTGCTTCTTTCTATTAAAAATTAAAAGAAATCTTAAAAAAACCTGCGCTGGCACAACTTACTGCTGAAGTTCATGTGACACTTATGAAGCTCAGCCTGTTGGTGGATGGCATTGTCCAGAAGATACAGCAGAGGTTTCTATGGCAGAACAACTCCATGTGGGTCACTAACTTCACATACCACCAGACCTAAAAGCAGCTCTCGTGGAAACCCAGCATTGTCTCTTTTCATCTAATTCCCATAGAATGCACTCTATCGCAATGAAGCATGTTGAGCACCCACACAGAAAAAC